ATATATATATATATATATATATATATATATATATATATAGTTAGTTAGTTAGTTTTTGACATGTAAATACACTTTATATGTATCCAGATTGGAATAGTTGGACCCAGAGTGGGACAGCCCAGTGTCAGCCAGCTACAGAACCAGTATCTTTCACATGGTCAGTTCCCTGGTTCAGGAGTTGGAGCAGCTCAGCCTGGGATGGCCTTGCCTGGAGCTCAGGGAGGCATAACACAGGTAAGATGATTTGCATTTCTTTTCTCTGCTTTGTACATCTCATTTAGCTGTGCAACTAATTTGGACAGAAGGAAATATCTGACACTTGGACAGAGACCTCACAGTCTTAAGAAAGACAGCCTGCCATTTTTTACATCCTCTTGTGTGAACTTGATGTATTTGTCCACAGAGTTGATGTGATCAGTGAAATGTTGGACTCCCTGAGATTTAATTTAACCCAGGTGTCATCAACATACCTTAACTAATGACTTGGTGGTGTCCCTGAAAAGGACGTCAAGGCTCTCTTTTCTACCTCCTCCATGTACAGGTTGGCAACAATAGGAGAAACTGGAGACTAGGGATGCACCGATCCATTTTTTTACTTCCGATACCTAAACCTGAATATCGTCCGATACCGATCCAGCTCCGATATCATGATCATTACTGATTTTATATGAAGCTGTAATAATCTCCTCTCAAGTACAATTTGTACAAATATATGCATACATGTCCAAAAAGGCAACTTGAGGTAAGTTTTATTAATGTTGGATAAGTTTTAAAGTTAGAATTAAGTTTTGCTAACACAAAACATGTTTCTTTTTATTCCTAGCTTTAAAGTGGATATTGAAGTGATTAATTTAAGTGATTGTTTAGTTAATATATATATATTTTTTTAAATAAGGGGCAGATATACAATTTTTTTTCTTTTTCTGCACTCTTTTCATTCAATGTTTTCTTTTTGATGATTTTTTCTTAAAATTTTGTTTCATTTAAATGAATGAATAAATGAATTAAATAAAATAAAATGTTAAATGGATTCAAACATCTGCTAAGTTCATGGCATAAACCAACAGACATGTTCCTGTTTTTAGTATTTTACATCACTTTATAATGTAGCTGTTTAGTTTATAATATATATAATTTTCAAATCACATGTTTCTTATGATTGTCTATTGTTGTACTGATAAATATCTCCTGGAGGGTAAACTATCTTGACTGTAAGTATCAAGCTGAGAAATCCTTAGTTTTCTACAACTGATAGTGGTTGGTCATTAATTATGAAGTTTAATAACTTCTCGGTAAACATTTGAGCTCCATGGTTTCAGCGAAGTCTTCTTCTTGTTCAATCTGAAGCAAGCAGCCTGATTTGGGGCAGCCGCTCTCAATCTGTCCCCCCTCTGAGATGGGCAGACTGAGCGGGGCAGATTGGACGCGGCTGTCCGAGGTCGAGTCGCCTATTTCGGTTTGACTAAAGAGTAGTGCTCCGCTGAAGCCACGGAGCTCGAATGTCCATCGTAAAACTAACTTTAACGTGGTTTAATGTGGCGCTATGGCTGCAGACATTGCACAATGCTGTCTTGTTTTGTGCTGTGTAGTGAACTAGGCCTCCGACCAAAACCTGTCTCTGAAGACCTTCATTGGACAGGAACTGTTATTTCATTGATTTGAATCCAGAAATACAAATGAGCTCATCCAGAGACTGTCTAATTGTATCCTGAAGTAATCAATTGAAAGAACACTCTTCTTTTTATATTATCATTACTATTTTACAATATCTTGATAATCAAAAAGTGTGTTTAGTTCATATCATTTCTAATGTTGAAGTGAACCACTCATTTTAAATCAACTGTGAAACAGTATTTATGATTTTTTTTAAACCTCATTTAAATTAGAAATCAAGTTAAATGTCTATTTACAAAGTAATTATGCATTTTGATTTTCTATCTGAATGAGAAGCAGTGATGTCGGTCAAAAGTCAGAGATGGTCAGAAAATAAGTTATTAGAACGGGCTGTATTGTTTTTAAACCTAGCAGACAGTAAAAAGAGAAACACTGGCATCTGCGTTGTCTCACTTCGCCATAACATTTCTCTGTCTGTACTAAACGTTCCTAAACATTCCTGAACTCTCTGTTGACTTTTAATAACCCTCTGACATCACTAGAACCACCCCCTGTTGGTTGTTTCAACCAGTCGGGAAGTATTAAGTTACCGGAAGTGAGAACTCTTTAAAAGTCGACACTTCCTGGAACTATTCAGTCTGCTCCGTCTTCTGGAGTCTTCTCCGTCTTCTCAAGTTCTTCTGAGTTCTTCTGAAGTCTTGGATCTGAGTTGAACTCGGTCTTTGATGGAGTCTTCTCAAGCCTTGTGGAGTCTTCCACTTCTAAGTGGAAACTCTGACGGACTCACAGATGCTTGCTGTGAATCCACCCGGGCGTAATGCCTCCAACTTCGAAGGGAGCTGAGCCTGTTTGTTGAACGGAGTAAATCGACACGACTTCTGACGATGACCAGCCGCTAACGGGAGACGCTGGAAATTAGCGTTGAAATGGATCCGACACCGAAACTGATTTATCTCCTGCAAAGGTAACGAGTCGTGACGCGCTAAGTGTACCGGAGGTTTGAGCTGGTAATTGAAAGAAGCGTGCCAATTCTGGTCAATCCAAACATACACCTCTCTTCACCCATCTCTTCTTTAAACCTCTAAACTCCTTCCTTTAAACTCTTCTATTTTGCCAGTAATCTAGATGCCTTCAGAAATGTCTTGTTGTCTTATTAGTAAAGCGTGCCAAGTTTTATTAATCAGAACCAGATCAGCTAATCAAGTGTACATGTTTTGATGTTAAATTTTGATTCTGTTAAATAAATGACCACATTTAGTCTGATGGGTCAAAGGAAAATTAACGTCTCTTGTCACTGATTAAACAATCCTCACAGTTACCTCGTCACATGGCATTAATTTAACTCGAAAAAGAAAGAACCCGTTATATTTAAATAATTAATTAGTAGTGAAGGTACAGTAAGCTGTCTCCCACTTTCACTACATTTAGTGGGACCGTACGTGTTTTAAATAACACATTTGGTGGGACCGTATGTCCACAGCAAAGTTGTCCTTGACACACTACAGCTGTTTCTAGTGTAAAATACTTCCACACAGCAGACATGTTTCGATCAAAAGTTGGTTAGCAGTTCGCCACAGTGCTGCTAACTCAGCCCTCACGTTGGAGCTGGCTGCAAACTATGAAATGGATTTCTTGAATGTGAGGCGGGTCTTATTACTCTAGGTTCATGAGACACACCGCCGTTCAGGAAATCCATTCCATAGTTTGAAGCCAACATGCATCATGGATTGGAAATATCGGCAGGTGGATCGGAAAAATCCGATACGTAAATTTTGCTGGTATCCGAGGCCGATACCGATACTGGATGGGATCGGCCCCATCCCTACTGGAGACCCCATAGTACACCCATGTTTCTGCCTATAATATTACCCCCCACCCCCCGTGAAGTAGGTTGACTGCAGGCAGTTTCAAGAGTTGACAGTTGTTCTGTGGAAAGAGTTGTTCTGCTCATAGTGGTGTCCTTAGACCACCTTCACTGCCTCATCAATAGGAGGGCTGTGATCAGTCTTACGTCAGGGAAACTAAACGGCCACTGGCCAAAAGAATGACCCAACACAGAAGAGCAACAGGCCAGGACTCTGCGGTCTACACTCATCTCCAGGCCAGAGGTCACTCGTTCAGGGATGAAGATGTTCACATCCTGGATAGAGAGGAACGGTGGTTTGAGAGAGGAGTAAAGGAGGCCATCTTTGTGAAAAGAAACCGTCCATCATTAAACGGGTGGAGGCCTACGTGTTCTACTGTCCACCTCTTACTGCTGTTATTGCTAGTATCACTCAGCCCTCTGTGAATAGCAAGCGGACATCACGGGACTGACTTGTTGATTTCTGTTGATTGTGAGGGTGATAGTCCTCCCTTTGCATGTGAACAACCAATTTTGTCTGCCACCAATAAACTGGTTGAGCCACTATGCCAGAGGTGCCCACACTTTCAGTCTGGAACAGGTCTCTCTTGTAAATGAGTCCTCGTGGCTCATTGAGACTAGCCTGTATAAATAAAGGTTGAATGAATGAATGAATGAACTTACATTTATTTTAACTGTTGTTACATTTGTTATAACTATTGTTACATTTATTATCACTGTTGTTACATTTATTATCACTGTTACATTTATTGTAACTGTTGTTGGAGCAGAAAAACTTTGGACTGCAGCTGTCTGTAGTGTGTATGTGAGACTTCACACTTGAAGCATTTCACCCCTCTGTGGGGGAGGGGGGCCCTGAAAATCTCCACTCTGAGACCTGGATTCAGAAAGCTTCAGTTTCAGACAGAATTAGGATGTTGTCTGTAAATGAATGGCTGAATGTTTCACGTCGTGTAAACAGAGCCTCAGACGGACTTCCCTGTCTGTCAATCAAGAGACAAATTTCATAGATGGATGATCGGCTGACATCTATTTTTTAATGCTATGGGATCTACCCATAATACCTTTGCAATCGATCGGTAGATTGCAATCAATGTATTGGGCACCCCTGCACTATGCCAAGATGCTGCTTATCAGACTAAATGTGTTGCTGCTCACACTCCAGTCTTTTGGATTAAAGGCGCAGCGTTTCAGCAAAGAATTTGTCCAGAAGACCTGTTTCAACTTTGTTAGATTTATCTACCTGGAATATTGATCATGCATCAGGACAACTTCAACTAACAAATTAAGTCCGTTTTTGTTGTTGTATTTTTTTTTTACTTTTGTGTATTTGCCATGTAATGACTGAGAATCCTCACCAGCATGTGCAAGTTTCAAATCTAGAGTTTGTCTTCTTTCACCCAGTGTGTCCCTCAGTCACTGTAAGACATGAGTTTCTCTCATATCTCCTCAAAGTACAGAAAGTGCACAGCCAAGCTTCAACATATGTTGAATTATCAGATATGTTTGACGTCAATTTATTCTCTCCAAACCTGGAAGTTAAGGGTCTTTAACTTGTCATACATAAAAAACACTTAAAACAAAGATTTGCATGCGAGAACATGAAAGTGTTCTGCTGCTCACGGTTCAAGATTTTTTTAAGCTCTGACATATTTTCTCAGTAACTTTTATTATGCCTCAATTACGTGACAGACAAAAGTGTATGGTTACCACGGTGACCATAATGTGCCACCGGCAGCAACTTCAGCATTTCTTTTAAACTTGTTTCTCTTTAGACTTTTCATGCTCTTAAGAAGTAAATATGTAGCTTAATGCCAAATTATGTTGGAGTTTTGAGTAGCAGCTTCAACGTTTCTGTAGAAATGTATTTGTTTGCTCCTGTGCAGCATTTTTTAACACTCATTCTTCTTTTTTGTCTTCAGACACAGATGGGGACTTCTCCTCTCCCAATTGGTAGTCCTTTAGCTCAGCCAGGTTCAAATAGTGGTCCCACTGGGGTCTCCACAGGGGGCCTCTTGGTTCCCCAACGTGTGGGTGGTGGAGGTCTCAACTCATCTGTTGGTGCCCCTGCTTCCTCTGTGACTCCATCTAACCAAAACCAACAAGCCAACTCCATTCCCAATTTGGGACCCATGCGGGGTTCATGCAGCTCACCCTCCCCAGCACACAGCCGATCCCCCACTCCACATCAAACGCCTCCAAGACTACCCAGGTCTCAAACGCCACAACCACATACCCCTAGTGCACCACAATTGGCCCAACCCTTATCGCTTCAGCAGAACCAGCTTAGCCAGAGCCCCGGCTCTAACAAGCCCTTCCAGCAGCAACACATTGGTCCCACTGCTCCCACCACTCCATCTCACCCTGGACTGACCTCCAGCTCAACTCCATATTGTGGGCAGATGCCACGCACTCCGGTTAGTGCTTTATAATTCAGACAATTGGCTTGAAAAGCCTAACAAGTTTTGTTTTACAGTTGAAGAAGTTTGACTGTTTTTGTAGGTTTCCTTTAATGCTTTGCTCTGTTACATGAAACACTTCTGTGCACCTGAGTCCATTTTAAATTTGTTTTCTAGTTGTCCCAGAAGGGCTCATTCCCAGCAGACAGTCAGGCCCCGACTCCAGCCTCCGTCAACAGTCTGGACACTTTGTCTCAGCAGCCACAGTCAAACAACTCAGCTGCTAACCAGGAGCCTAAAGTGGAAGTCAAGCACCAGGATGAGGAGGAGGAGGTTGATGCTGGCAGCTGCTCCAAAGGAGGGAAGCTCAGCAACCACAAAACGGAGGAGAAGCCTATGAAATTAGAATTGAAGAAGGAAAAGTGCTTTGAAGAAGGAGGTAAAGGAGTTCCTATGGATACTTCAACACCTACTTCAACATCAGAATTAAAAACTGAGGACAGGAAACCAGAAGTGAAAAAAGAGGTGAAAGAGGAAGAGGAGAGTTCGGAGGGAGCTGTTCCACAGGCTTCTGCAAAAAAGAAAAGTAAGACCAAATTTAATTTGTCTTTTTTATATATATACAAACCGGATTCCAAAAATGTTGGGACACTAAACAAATTGTGAATAAAAACTGAGTGCAATGATGTGGAGGTGCCAACATCTAATATTTTATTCAGAATAGAACACAAATCACAGATCAAAAGTTTAAACTGAGAGAATGTATCATTTTAAGGGAAAAATCTGTTGTTTCCAAATTTCATGGCGTCAACAAATCCCAAAAAAGTTGGGACAAGTCCATTTTTACCACTGTGTGGCATCCCCCCTTTTTCTTACAACACTTAACAGACGTCTGGGGACAGAGGAGACCAGTTTCTCAAGTTTAGAAATAGGAATGCTCTCCCATACATGTCTAATACAGGCCTCTTAACTGTTCAATCGTCTTGGGCCTTCTTTGTCGCACCTTCCTCTTTATGATGTGCCAAATGTTCTCTATAGGTAAAAGATCTGAACTGCAGGCTGGCCATTTCAGTACCCGGATCCTTCTCCTACTTAGCCATGATGTTGTGATTGCTGCAGAATGTGGTCTGGCATTATCATGTTGAAAAATGCAGGGTCTTCCCTGAAAGAGATGACGTCTAGATGGGAGCATATGTTGTTCTAGAACCTGAACATAGTTCTCTGCATTAATGGTGCCTTTCCAGACATGCAAGCTGCCCATGCCACAAGCGCTCATGCAACCCCATACCATCAGTGATGCAGGCTTCTGAACGGAACGTTGATAACAACTTGGGCTATCCTTGTCCTCTCTGGTCCAGATGACATGGCGTCCCAGTGTTCCATAAAGAACTTCAAATCATGACTCATCTGATCACAGAACAGTCTTCCATTTTGCCACACTCCATTTTAAATGACCCCTGGCCCAGTTCAAACGTCTGAGCTTGCTTAGAAATGGCTTCCTCTTTGCACTGTAGAGTTTCAGCTGGCAACGGTGGATGGCAAGGTGGATTGTGTTCACTGACAATGCTTTCTGGAAGTATTCCTGAGCCCATTCTGTTATTACCTTGACAGTGGCATTCCTGTTTGAGGTGCAGTGACGTTTAAGGGCCCGGAGATCACGAGCATCCTGTAGAGTTTTACGGCCTTGACCCTTACGCACAGCGATTGTTCCAGATTCTCTGAATCTTTTGATGATGTTATGCACGGTTGATGATGATAACTTAAAAGTCTTTGCTATTTTACGTTGGGTAACACCATTCTGGTATTGCTGCACTATCTTTCTGCGCAACAATGGTGGAGTTGGTGATCTTCTTACCATCTTGGCTTCTGAGAAACACTGACACTCTGAGAAGCTCTTTTTATACCCAATCATGTTGTCAATTGACCTAATTAGTGTTAATTTGTCTTCCAGCTGTTCGTTATTTGCTCAATTTCCTTTTTCCAGCCACTTATTGCTACTTGTCCCAACTTTTTTGGGATTTGTTGACACTGAAATTTTGAATCAACATTTTTTTCCTTTAAAATGTTACATTTACTCAGATTAAACTTTTGATCTGTCATCTATGTTATATTACGAATAAAATATTGACATTTGCCATCTCCACATCATTGCATTCAGTTTTTATTCACAATTTGTTTAGTGTCCCAACATTTTGGAATCCGGTTTGTGTATATATAATTTACCTCGTTGTTATGAGTGCTGTTCGTCTCATCCTCTCAAAATCTCGACTTTTTCAACAGTCTTCAAGCCGGAGGAGCTGCGTCAGTCTCTCATGCCAACACTAGAGTCTCTCTACAGACAAGACCCAGAGTCTCTACCCTTCAGGATGCCTGTTGACCCACAGCTGCTCTGCATTCCTGTATGTAGACCTGCTGAAGTCATGCATTTAATCTTGACATCAGCTTTAAGGTAATATCTCTCTGGGCTGCAGCTGCTGGAGACTAGTTGAGGACACAAAATAGTTTTTAAAAAAAACAGTCGTAATGAGTTCTGAGTGTTTATGACCATTGAGCTGTATGGTCATGTTTTATATGGTCAGTTTTTGAAAATCATGGCCTTTTTATGTGTTCACAGCATGTAAAACTGTATTTTATGTATTGGTGCCCAGCTTTACCCACATTGTTCCCACAATGGTTCATTTTCTATCCATCTTGGCAACTAACTTTTTTCTGATGTGGTTTTAGAAATTAAAGTCCAACACCCACCATTACAGTCAAGTCACATTTATTTATATAGCACATTTAAAACAGTAACTGTTATCAAAGTGCTTACCAAAAAAGATCACAGCATCAAATATTAATACCATATTACAGCAACATGAATAAAAGCATAAACACATTAAATATAAAGAGAAACAATGAAATACTAAATCAAATCACCCAGCGTTAAATGTCAGGGAGTAAAAGCAAAATGGATGAACACAATCATCAACAACGAAATACCAAATGAGATCAAACTGTGTTAAATGCCAATGAGTACAGATGTGTTTTGAGGAGAGATTTAAAAATAGAGACTGAGGTGGCCTGTCGAATGTTGATGGGCAGGTTATTCCAGAGTTTAGGATCCATGACTGAAAACGCCCCATCTCCTCTGAGCTTCAGCCTGGTTTTAGGTACGGCCAAAAGCAGCTGGTCTGATGATCTCAAGGCCCGAGAAGGAGTATAAGGATGAAGGAGGTCGGAGAGGTATGAGGGTGCAAGGCCATTAACACACTTAAATGTCAGCAGAAGAATCTTAAAATCAACTCTGACACGCACAGAAAGCCAGTGAAGAGAGGACAGAACTGGAGTAATGTGCTCAAACCTGCGAGTTCCTGTTGGTAGCCGAGCTGCAGCATTTTGGACAAGCTGGAGACGTGAGAGAGAGACCTGACTGACCCCAGCATAAAGCGAGTTACAGTAGTCCAGCCGGGTTGTAATAAATGCATGGACTAATTTTTCAAGGTCGGATCTGGACAGGACGGACTTAAGCTTTGCTATCTGCCTTAGCTGAAAGAAGCTTTTTTGTAGAACAGAATTTATCTGCTTATTAAACTTAAAGTCCATGTCTAAAACTATCCCGAGATTGGTAACAGACTGTTTTAGATATGGCTGAAGGGAGTCCAGGTTTGCAGGATCAGTGACAGTGGCAGAGCTAGGGTTAAACACAATGACCTCAGTCTTCTGATCATTAAAACTCAAAAAGTTCGCAGCCATCCAAGTCTTGATGTCAAGACATTTTAACAAAGGGCAAATGGAGGAGGAACTGTTAGGTGTTAACGGCAGATAAATCTGAGAGTCATCAGCATAATAATGAAAGGAAAGACCATGTTTCCTCAGGATAGACCCTAAGGGGAGGAGATACAAAGAAAACAGAAGGGGTCCAAGAATGGAGCCTGAAAGAGGCACTGAAGTAGATAGTGTTAGCAAAATTAACACAGAAACTCCTGTCGCTCATGTATGAATGGAACCATTTTTAACGCTGCACCAGTAATCCCAACCCAGTGTTCTAGCCGGGATAAAAGGATACTGTGGTCCACATTATCAAATGCAGCGGTAAGGTCAAGGAGTACCAGGACTACAGACTGACCAGAGTCATTTGCCAGAAGAATGTCGTTGCAGACCCTAACTAAGGCTGTTTCAGTGCTGTGTAATTTCTTAAAGCCAGACTGAAAGATCTCAAGAATAGAATTTCCACTCAAAAACTTGTTTAATTGAGTGAAAACTATTTTCTCCAGGATCTTAGAAAGAAAGGGAAGTTTGGAGATGGGTCTGAAGTTTGAGCAGGTTGAAGGGTCAAGTCCGGGTTTTTTTTATTAAAGGAGTTACCACTGCATGTTTTAAAGCATCAGGAACTACACCTGTAGCCATACTGCTGTTTATAATGTCACGAACAGAGGGTCCAATGCAGGGTACGACTTGTTTAAAAAACGATGCAGGGATGGGGTCAGCAGGGGAACCTGAGGGTTTCATATGACCAATGATGTCATTTAGAAATGAGAGGGAAATGGGTTCAAACTGGTTAAAGACCGATGTGGAGGGGACAAAGGCAGAGGGGTCAGCTGTGGTGTGAGGAATCAGTGACCTGATCGACTCAACTTTTTTAACAAAGAAACAGGCAAAGTCATTGCACGTAACTGCAGAGACCTCCCTGTTGGCAGACTGAGGCACGGTTAAAATGTAGTTAATGGTATTGAAAAGAACGTGGGGATTGTGGCTGTTTGAGGTGATAATTTGGGAGAAATATATATATATATTTTTTTTTTTTTTCTGATTTATTAGTGGCCTGGTACTCTTTGTAACATGATTTTAGCATGATAAAAGAAAAGTGAAGTTTGTCCTTCTTCCATTTACGTTCGGCTTTCCTGCATTGACGTTTGGCTGCGCATGTGATCTCATTAATCCAAGGGTGTGGAGTGCGCTTTGAATGCCTAATTTTTAATGGTGCAACTAGGTCAACTACCTTAGCACAGATCTCTTGATGTACAGTGACAGGCTCATGGGTGTTCATGGAAGAGGATTCACAGACTGAGAGAGAGTTTTTAGTAAAAGCAGATGAAAAGAGTGCAGCAGTGGAAGGGTTAAATATTCGATGAGGCCTTGCTGGAGGGGGAGGGGGTTTGGACTCGTTGACAAAAGAAGTGTTGAAAGAAATGGATTTGTGGTCGGAGAAAACTGCATCCCCAATTTCTAACTCAGAAACAGATAAACCAAAGGTTAATACTAAATCCAGTGTGTGGCCATGCTGGTGAGTTGGTCCTGCAACATTCTGTACAAAGTTCAGAGACTGGATCAGATCTAGAAAGTCCTGAGTCAGCTGCTTTTCAGGGCAACAGACATGTATATTGAAATCTCCCATAATCAAAACCCGATCTTATCCGAGCAGAATCCAAGTTAAAAAGTCAGAGTTCAGCCATGAAGTCCTTATTATATTTGGGTGGCCTGTATAACACAGCAGAAAAAACAGGATTTGAACGTCCCACCTCAAAACACAGCAGTTCGAAGCTCAAAAAATTAGCTGGTATCTGTACCAGTTTGAAGTTCCATCGTTTTTTGAAAATAGTTTATAATCCACCACCTTTGCCTGATGTTCTTGGAGCATTAAAATAAGAACAGTCCAGTGGTAGAATTTCCGACAGGGCCATGAACTCACTACTGGAGAGCCACGTCTCAGTCATGCAGAAGAAGTCCAGACCGGTGGAGGAGAAAAAGTCCTTCAAGATGAACGTTTTATTAGCCAGAGATCTGGCATTTATCAGGGCAATCCTTGTAGGAATCACAGCAGGAGAAGTTGTCCATGAAGTTAAAACCAGCGGTCTCAGATTTGTGGAGTTCGACCCGCGACTCCCAACGATGGAAGCCAAGCCGCAGCGAACAGGTTTGCTGTGGAAGCACGACCTGATCCGTGGGACCGGGAGGGACTCAGGTGGACCGGCGCAGCACCAGGACAGGTGATTTAAGATGTGGTCCTCGGTTGAAGAGGAAACCGCAGCAGCAGCCCGGCAGGCTTTGATCCTCACAAGACGGCCGGCCCGTTTTCCACGGCGCCTGGAGCGAGGTCTTCGAGCAGGCAGGATACCACGGCGGAGGTAAACAGGAACGTCTTCAAGCAGAGGTGGGGGTCCAAGAGGGGGTCCAGAGTTAGAGTTACGATCATTATGATCAAACAAAGCGAGACTGGTGGCAGATAGTCGTAGATTTAGGAGTTGATGACGTTAATAAACCAGCAGTGAGTCGATGTTGTAGGTGAAAAATGACAAAAACAGAAAAAACACAATCACTGCAGACAGAGGTGGAGGGCAGGCCATGCACAGCGGCTCCATCTTCCCGGAAGTCATGTCAGTCCCAAGTGCTTAAGATATAATGATGATAGTAGAATATACTGGTTATATTTCTTTGCATTCTGGCCACACAAGGGTAAAAAAACACTTAAACCAGTCAAGGAAACACCTGAGCATATAACCAATGATTACCAAAGGCTGCTGATGACACGCTAAGGACCAGGCACAGGCAGGCGTGTGACACTGCATGCGTTCTTCCTGTTTCCTCTTCTAAAACATATAATGGCTATCTCACTTCCTCGTCGAAGTCCTCACACAGGCCAAGTCTGTTTTTCTTTTTCATCTCCGCCTTTTCTCTTTGAGAAGGTTCTGATTCTGTGGTTTTGTCCATTTCTTGGTCTAAGCCTCCATCTCAACAGAAGCTGCGGCTCCATGTTCACAAATTACCTCATTTTGACACAAACACACTGAAACTGACTAAACACACCACACTACACCCTAACAAAAAATCTAAACGCTAAATATAATATAGAATTACCATATATAACATTGGGCCTCAGAAAGGAGGTGATGGGTGGTTGTTTATTTGTTGAGGTGGGGATGAGAATGGATGGGTGTGTTTTGACCTTGTGAAATAGAAATCTGTTTGTCTCACATAATCGAACCCCCAGACGTGATGTCACATCCCAAATATGCTATGAAAGGGGCTGTTTCCACTGTGACTGAAACCAGTTGAAATCGTCACAAAAAGTATGTTTTTAAAACCACTTTACTTTTCAACGATTGCCACAGAACATAGGTTTTGTCTCCAACATGTTTTGCTTAATATATAATGTGAATAAAATTATCAGAGGTAGAGCACAGGTTGAACCACTGGGAGTTAGAAGTTAGAGAGACCAGACTGAGATGGTTTGGACATGTCCAGAGGAGGGACAGTGGTTTGGACATGGCCAGAGGAGGGACAGTGGGTATAATAGTAGAAGGATGTTAGAAATGCAGCTGCCAGGAAAAAGACAGAGGAGATATATGGATGCAGTTAGAGAGGACATGGAGGTAGTTGGAGTGAGGACAGAAGATGCAAGGGACAGAGTGAGATGGAGGAGGATGACTCACTGTGGAGACCCCTGAAGAGGGAAAAACCAGAGGAAGAAGTAATGTGAAATTGTGGGTGTTGGATTTAAAGAATGTTCGATTCAGACCCGTTTTATTTTTTCTTGTTTATTATTACTAATCAGCCTGATTAGATAGACCTGGACATGTTTTCTGTCAAAGGGGAAGATCTGCATTTATCACAGTACAGAACAAGAGCTCTTGACAGGTTGGATACACAAAAAAATCCAGCTGGGTTGAAAACTTTGACTATTTTAAGAGCAAATGGCACACTTTTTTTTAGGAGTGCACCGATAAATTGGCCACGATTTCCTTAATTTTGGAAAATCGGAAATCGGACGATATTGCGCATGAGAAACCGATTTTACCGATGTTTTTGTTTGTTTGTTTTAACAACAATTGTCTGAACTTCATTTATATTTCAGAGCACCACCTCATGGCCAGTTAAAACAAGTTTGTATTGTTTCTAGGATATTGTTCAAGGGTATGTTTTTCAATAAAATAAGATTGGAAAATTGAAGGTGCATTGGGACCTTATAACACCTGACAGTGTCGCTTGTAAAACAAAATCGGAATCGGCTGGTCGGACTTTTTAGAAATAGGTGATCGACCTGGAAACTGCAATTGGTGCACCCCTACTTTTTTTTAACATGTTTAAAATTCAAGCGACAGGACTGTGAGTCGCCTTGATGACTTGTGTGAACAAACTAAGAAACATTTTAAATGAATGCTGTTCTCCAGCTAATCCCAGCCCGGTGAGATACCACCTCTAGCATCTTTCCTGTGATCTTTACAAACATGCTGTTTTGATTTTGTCCAGCTTCTGTGTAACTATTTTAACTTGAACATTTTAACAGGACTACTTTGACATCGTGAAGAACCCAATGGACTTATCAACAATCAAACGAAAGCTGGATACAGGTTAGTGTTTCCCATTGGCATCAGATACATTTGTAATGCAAGGGGGACATCATAGTGGGGGTTGGGGGGAGGGGTTCCTTCCCCAGAACTTTTTGAATAAAGTAGATCCCATTTCCTGCATTCTGGTGCACTGTAATGGGTTGCTAAACGTCTGTTTACCTACATACAGTGCCTTGTGAAAGTATTCAGACCCTTGAACTTTTCAACCTTTTGTCACATTTCAGGCTTCAAACATAAAGATATAAAATTTTAATTTTTTTGTGAAGAATCAACAACAAGTGGGACACAATCTTGAAGTGGAATGAAATTTATTGGATGTGTCAAACTGTTTTAACAAATAAAAAACTGAAAAGTGGGGCGTGCAATATTATTCGGTCCCCTTGCGTTAATACTTTGTAGTGCCGCCTTTTGCTGCAATTACAGCTGCAAGTCTCTTGGGGTATGTCTCTATCAGTTTTGCACATGGAGAGACTGAAATTCTTGCCCATTCTTCCTTGCAAAACAGCTCGAGCTCAGTGAGGTTGGATGGAGAGCATTTGTGAACAGCAGTCTTCAGCTCTTTCCACAGATTCTCGATTGGATTCAGGTCTGGACTTTGACTTGGCCATTCCAACACCTGGATACCTTTATTTGTGAACCATTCCATTGTAGATTTGGCTTTATGTTTTGGATTATTGTCTTGTTGGACGATAAATCTCCGTCCCAGTCTCAGGTCTCTTGCAGACTCAAACAGGTTATTTTCCAGAATGGTCCTGTATTTGGCCCCATCCATCTTCCCATCAATTCTGACCATCTTCCCTGTCGCTGCTGACAAAAAGCAGGCCCAAACCATGATGCTGCCACCACCATGTTTGACAGTGGGGATGGTGTGTTCACTTTTTATGGATATCTTTGAGAAATGGCTTTCTTCTTGCCACTCTTCCATAAAGGCCAGATTTGTGCAGTGTACGACTGGTTGTTGTCCTATGGACAGACACTCCCACCTCAGCTGTAGATCTCTGCAGTTCATCCAGAGTGATCATGGGCCTCTTGGCTGCATCTCTGATCAGTCTTCTCCTTGTTCGAGATGAAAGTTTAGAGGGCCGGCCAGGTCTTGGTAGATTTGTAGTGGTCTGATACTCTTTCCATTTCAATATGATTGCTTGCACAGTGCTCCTTGGGATGTTTAAAGCTTGGGAAATCTTTTTGTATCCAAATCCGGCTTTAAACTTCTCCACAACAGTTTCTCTGACCTGCCTGGTGTGTTCCTTGGTCTTCATGATGCTCTCTGTGCTTTGAACAGAACCCTGAGACTATCACAGAGCAGGTGCATTTATACAGAGACTTGATTACACACAGGTGGATTCTATTTATTATCATCAGTCATTTGGGACAACATTGGATCATTCATAGATCCTCACTGAACTTCTGGAGTGAGTTTGCTGCACTGAAAGTAAAGGGGCTGAATAATATTGCACTCCCCACTTTTCAGTTTTTTATTTGTTAAAAAAGTTTGACACATCCAATAAATTTCATTCCACTTCACAATTGGGGCCGAGATGGTGTAGAGGCAGGGCAGCCGGCTTGGGACCCGAGAGTCCCAGGTTCGATCCCCAGTCACTGCACATCACGTGGCGTCTCTGGGCAGCACGTCTAATCCCCAAAATGTCCCCCGGGCGCTTTCAATAGCTGCCCACTGCACCACCTGGTGGTGGATGGGTTAAATGCAGAGACTAATTTCGCCATTGTATGGAAACATACAGTGCTGACATTGTGATGACATTATTATTATTATTATTATAATTGTGTCCCACTTGTTGTTGATTATTCACAAAAAATTAAAATTTTATATCTTTATGTTTGAAGCCTGAAATGTGGCAAAAGGTTGAAAAATTCAAGGGGGCCGAATACTTTCGCAAGGCACTGTATGTAAACACTTGATTCAATAACTATTTTAGAGTGCAACAAGAAGTAGCCTGACCAACAGCTCTCCTTGTGTGAATAGAGCACGCTCCGCTTCTCTCTCACATCCTAAACCTCCGCCCGTTCTAAAACTGCCGGAAGTAATGTAGCGCTAAGCTAGCAGCACGCAATACAGCCGTACTAGCTAAGCTACTGCAGACATCGTCACAGACATATGGACGTAGCGCTCCATGTAGACATGCATCGGTGGTGCTCCACAACTGCACTGCTGGCACTAATGTGGCGTGGTGCTAGCGTGCAACACAGAGGTGTCTCTCCCTGTGAGCATCCTGCCAAAGCAAATGACCTCGGGGAAACACTGCATGCAGTGCGATGAGTTGTTTTAGGTAACCAGGAAAACCTGGAGTGGACTTTTACTGGTTTTATGGTAAATATGTGTGGGTGTTTGGGGGTGGGGGGGGTGGGGTGGGGGTCCGAATGAATTTTTTTTATGTGTGGGTGGGTGGGGGACACGTCCCCTTCACAAATTGTTGCAATGCCTTAGGTGTTTCCTGCTGTATGGATGAATCATGGAACACGTTCAACCTTTTCATTAAATAAATACATTTTGAAAAGCTTTAAGGAGATGTTTAAATCTAATATCAGTCTTTTTTTTTTACTGTTCAAAACTGCAAATTTAAAAATTGTCTTTGAATAAAATCAACAACAACAGTCTGGATTAATTTTTCTACAAATGTTTGGGTTGATTGCAGGTCAGTACCAAGACCCATGGCAGTATGTTGATGACATCTGGCTGATGTTCAACAATGCTTGGCTGTACAATCGTAAAACATCACGCGTCTACAAGTTCTGCTCCAAACTTGCTGAAGTGTTTGAGCAGGAGATTGACCCTGTGATGCAGAGCCTTGGCTACTGTTGTGGGAGAAAGGTGAGACAAACTAGATGCACTAATTGGTAGGATGGTCTAAATATGAGAGAAGACAAGTGTGTTTTTGTTGTTTGATTCTTCAGCTGCAGTCTTGAAAAGTTCAGTTAGATTGTAGTATTATTTTTTTTTTGTGTGTGGATAAATGTGTGGGGGGGGGGGACCGTAGAAAAAATTGTTTCAAGACTTTTTTACCTATTGAATTTTCTAAAAACTACAATGGGAAAAAATGTTTTAAAAGTTGCTGAAATGATTGAGTTTTTCACTTTGAATATAAAAATGAATGTAGCCACCACAGTGTCTTGTCTCTTCCCTTTTTTTCATTCAACCTTTATTTATACAGGTTAGTCTCATTGATCCTTGAGGACTCATTTACAAGAGAGACCTGTTTTAAACAAAATGATGACAACAGTAGACAATAATAAAAGATTCTAATGAAACTCGGAAAGTAATCATTACATGTACATACATCCACAGCGGATTAACTTTTGGAGTCAGCCCACGTCAAGATGACTACCACAGACAACACATACTCTAACTCAGTTGTACAGATATTGAACTAAAGTTTGAAGTGAAAGTAGCCGAGTCATCCTCAACAGAGATCGCTCAAAATGTTATTTTCAAGGTTTGACCAAAATGGCTGCAGCTCCATCGTTTCTTATCATAAGATGATCTTGGTCTAGAACTCTGAGCCTTAAACTAATTCTTTATTAGTACATTACTTGATCATCAGAAATCTGTGTCACTAAGCTTTTCCCTTCTCTTCTGTCCACCAGTTGGAGTTCTCTCCTCAGACTCTGTGCTGCTATGGAAAGCAACTGTGCACTATTCCCAGAGATGCCGTGTACTTCAGTTACCAGAACAGGTATATATGCAGTATTTGGGCAAACCAGGTAAACTAAGAGGAAGACGATTCAAAGATTGAGAATAAAATAAAGATGTTTGGTCAGACAATCTATGTACACAGGAACTCTAAAGTAGTTTTACCAGCAGTTTTGTTTACCTGCTCCATTTCTGGTAGTCTTGGGTCACCTGACCACAGAAATGCAATTTTATGAACAGTTTGAATTTAATACAGCAGAAGGCTTCTCCACCTGAATGTCTACAGCAAGTTTATTTATTTTTAAAAAATCAACTACATTGTATCTTACAACCCTAAAATATTCCCGAGATTAGTCAGATGAAAATAACCTAACAAAAACTTGGTTGATCTTGCAGTGTGTGTGGCATAAGTCACTAAACACATCCTTCTTATTCATCCATCCATCCATCCATTTTCTTTACCCGCTTATTCCATTTTTGGGTCACGGGGGTCGCTGGTGCCCATGTCCAGCAATCACTGTGCGAGGGGCGGGGTACACCCTGGACGGGTCGCAAGTCCATCACAGGGCCACATAGAGACAAACGAGACAAACAACCATTCACTCTCTCACTCACACCTAGGGACAATTTAGAGTTACCAATCAGCCTAACATGCATGTTTTTGGTCTGTGGGAGGAAACCGGAGTACCCGGAGAAAACCCACGCATGCACGGAGAGAACATGCAAACTCCACCCAGAAAGGCCCCTGGACCGGGGTTTGAACCAGGGACCTGCTCGCTGAGAGGCAGCAGCTCTACCAGTTGCGCCACCGTGCTGCCCATCCTTCTTATTTCAACCCCTTAATAAGCCCTTAATCTGCAGTCGGGCTGTGGAGAAGGCAGGTCCAGGAGAGAAGCCTCTCTTCAGCTCCTCTCAAGTCATTTCTAGCCGAAGAGGATTTATGATTCCTCCATTGGTTTCTGGGTCTCCAACCCCAGAGGGAGGTAAAACCTCTCCAAGGAGAGGCATCCTAATCCAATGCTCAAACTACCTCAGCTAAACTCTTTGATGCTGAGGAGCAGTGGCTATAATATGAGCCCCCCCGTGTTGACTGGGCTTTCCATCTCAGTTCTAGGTGTGTGTCAGTGTTCACATCTGTAAATCTGTATCTCTCAGCCTTTACCAGGGTCAGTGTTTACAGTAAAGGTTGTAGTGATGTAGGGACAGCTTTCGCTGTAACATACTACTAATTAATTATCCTTAAAGCTAGTTCAAGCACAAAGAATATTAATTGTTCAATTACAACGGATTCTTTCTTTTTCGAGTTAAATTTCTGCCATGCGACCAAGATAACTTGTGGAGTTTTAATCAGTGACATGAGGCGTAATTTTTCTTTGACCCATCAGAATAAATGCGGTCATTTATTTAAGAGAATCAAAATTTAACATCAAACATGTACACATTGATTTGCTGATCTGTTTCTGATTAATAAACTTGGCACGATTTACTAAACAAGACAATAGAAGATTACTGATTGAGACTGATTCATCTCTGTAGGCATCTAGCTTGATTTACTGGTGAATAGAAGTTTAAAGAGAAGGAGAATAGAAGTTTAAAGATTTAAAGAAGAGGTTTAGATGGATGAAAGTTATGTGTTGAACCAGAAAATGGCACCCTTCCTCCGAATCCAGCTCAGCCCTCCGGTACACTTCAGGGCGTGCAACGACTTTGTTACCTTAGCAGAGGATACATCAACTCCGGAACAGATGTCCATTGGCACGCTCCCTTTTCAGTGTCTCCGGTCAGAGTGGCTAGGGTCGTCAGAAGTCGTGATGAAGTACTCATTTCAACAGAATAAGCTTCCTTAGAAGTTGAGCATTTAATACTCGCGTTGAGTCACAGCCGAGGCAGGCTGTGACTACGCTGGAATGGACGGACCCTTGGCACATGGTCAAATCCATCAGCTATTTTGTTCAGCTGTAAGACTCCATCAGACTGAGTCTCATCTTCGACTGAAAGTTTCAGGAAGACTGGAAAGGCTCGGAAGACTTGGAAGACTGAATAGTTCCAAGAAGTGTTGACTTTTAAAGGGTATCCACTTCTTGTCACTTGGTACTTCCTGATTGGTTGAAAAAACCAGCAGGGGTGTAGTTTTAGTGATGTCAGAGGGTTATTAGAAGTCAGGAGACAGCAGAAATGTTTTAAGAATGGTTAGTACAGACAGAAATATTTGAAAGAAATGAGAGAATGCAGGTGCCAGCCAGTTCTTATTTACTGTCTGAGAGTTTTAAAAACAAGGCACTTCGTTCTCATAACTTGTCTCTGACTTTCGACCGACATCAGGTCCACTCCTCACACAGACATAAGAGTGAATGCAGACTTACTTCGTAAATAGACATTTAACTGTATGATCCAAGTCTAATGAGGTTTAAAAATCATTAATACTGTTTCACAGTTGATTTAAATGAGTGGTTTACTTCAACATTTAGAAATGGTATGAACTAAACACACTTTTGATTATCAAGATATTGTAAAATAGTTAATGATAATATAAAAAAGAAGTGTTCTTTCAATTGATTAATTCAGGATACAATTAAATAGTCTCTTGATGAGATAATTTGTATTTCTGGATTCAAATCAATGAAATAACAGTTCCTGTCCACTGAAGGTCCTCAGAGACAGATTGATGTCGGAGGCCTAGTTCACTACAGTCCCCACTTTGGAAATCATCGCCTGTCCATGGGGATGAATTCCAACATGAACTTACGCCTCCGAATGTCCTTGATCTTGATGTAATCCAGCAAGAGGAAAACAAAAGTCAAAGAAAGTAATCCCACAATGGTTTTGGTAATTCCATAATGTTGTTGGTAATTCCATTGCAGCAACGCTTTAACCCCTTGGAAACAAAAGCCCCTTATCCACAGGGCCTTTTGGTGCTCCTATGTAACTAGTTCGGGCCGATTGCATGGTTTATCCACAATGATTCAGCAGTGGAACCCACCCCATTTTTGGGACCTACTTCTCTAATGCCCCTTTTCCATTAGTACCGGTACGGGCCGACTCGACCCTACTTGGCCCGGTTCTGAGGCTTTTCCATTAGTACCGGTACTTAGCACCTGTTACTATTTTCAGTACCCTTGGCTCTGTGGTTCTAACCGGTACGAAGAGGTACAAAAACGTGACGTCAGTACACTGTAGGTCACTGATTGGTCAGGGGCGGAGTCGGGGGCGGGGTCACTGGATCCTTCAGAAACGTTTCAAAACAATAATCCGCCATTTGCAATTTCTCGGACTGGAGCCGCGGCTGGACTTATTTTAAAGATTTTAAAAACAATACTGACAACATCTTGGTCTAATGCTGATGTGCTGGCATTTTTTGTGCTTGGTGGCCGACAACATAATTCAGAGCAAGCTGGATGGAGCTCTGCTGGTGTACCCGATCCTCCCTCCGGAGCCTCGGAGCACCAGGCCGGGCAGGGCGTCATCTCCCCGGCTCCAAGTTCAGCTGGTCACCGCGGAAGATCCTTCAATGTGCCGACTGGGAGGCTCGGGTTCCGGATACCAGCCTTGTGTGCTCAGAGCTCCGCAGGTCACTGCGAATCTGGAGATGGGGACTCACAGATGGACGTTGCCAGACCCCGGCCGCGCGTAATCATGAAGGCTGAATCCCGATCCCACCCGGCAGTCAGGCGGGCTGGACAGTCTGGGACGGACGCTGGAAGCGATTTTTAAATAAAATAATATTTTGTTTTCATACAAAAAATGTTTTTAAAAACTGCTGAAGCGATTTAAAAATGATTATCATTTTTTTACACGTAAAATGTTTTTTAAAAATCGCTTCCACCGTTCGTCGCAGACCTGTCTCTGCCCGCCTGTCTGCGCGGGTCAGACCTTCATGATTACGCGCGGCTGGAGTCTTGGAACAGCCTCTGTGAGTCACCAGCTGAGCTGGAGCTGGGAGGATGAGCCTCCCAGCCTCCTCCTCTCCGGAGGAGAGGATCGTGTGACTGCAGGCAGTGTCATGCGAGACCAGCAGAGCGTTGAAGATTAAAAAAAAAAAAAGAAAAACGGTGCCAGCTTCATCATGAAATCCTGTTTTCACTTTAATGACTGTTAACTCAGCTGAAAATCATAAAAAGAAACAAAACTATTGGATCTCAGGAATATTTCCCTCAAACATGTTTAAAGAAGAGTCGACCTTCAGTTCAACTTTATTTTAACCCATAAATGTACAAATCACAAAACAAGAACTTTAAAGCAAAGCTAAAAATAAAATGTATATATGTGAACAAGAAAGAAAACCACACATCTAAAATGAACATTAAAAGTAGACAATGAGTGCAAATACATCAAATGATGATGAAAACCTATAAAAATTTAAATGTAATGTTTTTGTAGAATCTGGTTCATCAGAGTTTT